GGAAAATCTCAAGTGTTCTATTATTTTAATTGGAAGGTGTAAACACCAAATACATTAAAATTGAACTTCAACAGGTCTGAAAACTGATGCTGTCTATGGACAAACCCCCCTATTTTTATCAACTCCATATGAGGTGGCAAAAAAACATAATTACCATTAAACTGATTTTGGGATGATGGAAGATTGTGAGAAGTTATGTTGATGGCTTATCTATCTAAAATGTCACCACCCATGGAACAGAATTACATTATATAGATTATACAGGATTTTTTTGTCTAAATACTTTAATTCTTAAAATAAATTACTAGCAACTGAGTCCAGAATGCACAATAAACACACTTGAATAGCTTTTAGCTCTTCAAAAGAAGTGCTTCTGTAAGAGTAACAGTTCAGCATATCTTTAAATCTCATGGAATACATTTCTTCAATCCTTAATACTCTGCTGTATTTGTCCCAAGGACAACCCTGGCCTGTTTGCTTTCAGGATTTGCTAGAACAGAGGGCTATTCCCTTCACTACAGACAGCATGCTAGATGGAAAGTAAATGTTTCCAAGGCTTCTAATTATAATGAACAGAAATCCTATTTTCAAAAGTTATAGATACTTTTAAAAGTCTAATTAACTTTCAGTTACATGTAGACTATATATCTGTGGCATTCTGCAAACAGAACTCAGGCTCCAAAGTTACTTCCAATGAAGAAGGTCTGTATTCCTTTGGGAGTTAGGCACTTAAATGCCATATACATTTCAAGTATTTTTGAAAACTGCACGGTTCATTTCCCATCTAAGTACTGATTTCTGTGTGGTATAAAATCAACAGAATTTGCATTTCCATACTTACATTACTCTCCAAACTCCTTTACAAGACTTTGCAAGCTTGCATCAAAAGTATTTTTCACTGTGTAAGACTGCAGACAGTGATCCTAGAATCATAGAATCATTTAGGTTAGAAAAGACCTTTAACTTAATTGAATCCAACCCTTAACCTAGCACTGCCAAATCCACCAATAAACCATGTCCCTCAGTGCCACATCTACACCTTCTAAATACTCCCAGAGACGGTGACTCAACCAATTCCCCAGGCAGCCTGTTCCAGTGCTTGACAATACTTTCAGTGAAGAAATTGTTCCTAATATCCAACCTAAAGCTCCCCTGGTGCAACTTGAGGCTATTTCCTCTCGTCCTATCATTTGTTACTTGGCAGAAGTCAATGACCCCCACCTCGCTGCAACCTCCTTTCAGGTAGTTGTAAAGAATGATAAGGTCTCCGCTGAGCCTCCTTTTCTCCAGACTAAACAACACCATTTCCCTCAGTTGCTTCTCATCAGACTTGTTCATCAGACCCTTCACCAGCTTTGTTGCCCTACTCTGGACCCGCACCAGCACCTCAATGTCTTTCTTCTAGTGAGGTGCCCAAAACCGAACACAGTATTCAAGGTGCAACACAGTATTTGATGTACAACAATGATCACTTTGGGAGGATTATTCTTCACTGTTATGAATAATATCTTTGATTCTATATGGTTGATACATGATATTTCTATTCCTCATGAAGAATGCCAAACTCAGGCATTCCCATGGAGCCCAAAGCAGCACCTCACCTACAGAAGTGAAACAACGTCCAAGGTGCCTGTTATGATCATGAAGAGTCATGTACAAAGCACGAGTATCTCACACTGTGAGAGGTGTCTTGCTTTGGCAGGGCATTATTATTTCTCCAGCATCCATTCAATGTCTGTATTCAATACCTAGAGGAAACTCTTACCTCATTTCTTTTACAGTTTAAAATGTATATGGTCTCCTATTCTGTATGGGAACTGTAATTTCTGTGTTGGTGTGCTCAGTGGTTGGTTGATTATTTTTCCCAGGTCAGTTTTTTCTAATACACAAATACTATACTTTTTCCTTGATTTTGATTGCAATAAAATTAAATAAGTAACTCTGTTTTTTTTTAAATATGCAGTTTCCTTCTGTTGTAGCTCATATATGCAATGCTATTGCCATGATTTCTGTGATATTTATTTTGGAAAGCTAGTACTTTCCAGGAAAAATCATGAGGTGGTCTTTCTAATGTTTAGATCAGTCTGACACTTTTGCTATCAGTGAAATCTTTTATCACCTCTGTATCTTCTGAATCTCCATAGCTCTACTGAGCAGAAGTAATACTTAAAGAACACTTTCATAAAAGCAATAGCTGAATAACAATACGGGGAAGAAGAACTTTTCAGCAAAGCTGAAATTTGGATGGAATGTAAATAGGAGGAGAGTCCAGAACAGATCTCTGGTGAAGAGATGTTTACAATTTAGGTGCCATTCTTTATAAGGAATGGATGATAAAAGTTCATGTGTCTGTTTGTTCAGGGTTTTTTCAAATTACATTAAGATAATCACTAAAGCAATTTCTTTTGCGTCTTAATCTGCTAATCACAATGCATGTGGCACTACATCACACCTACATTAAGACTGGAAATACACTTTCCAGAATAATTTTTTTTCCAAGATCAGCAAGAAGCTATAGGTAGCACCATCAGAAAAAACATAAACAGAAAAAATCTGGGTCAAATGCTCCTATGAAATGATGACATAAACACTCAAAAGAGTTGTGTTTAAGACATTATAGATGAGAAGCTGCTATGACTTCTGTGTTGCTGGAGGCTACTGCCTGAGCAGTAAAGCTAATGTAAGGTTTTTAGCCTAGATGTTGACTTTGCATTGAAATAACCTGGAATTTACCATATGTTTATCATTCAGTCAGAGAACTGACCCCCACCAGACAGGGCAACAGTTACTTTCTCTTTCAGCTGGAGTGGCTGAAGCCCAGCTGAATGAGTACAGATGACAATTCACAAAACAGAGCATTTCAAGGGACCTTGAGATTTTAGCAGGTTTTGATGAAGCAGCTTTTAAAGAGAAGGAAGTTGGTGTGCCTATACTTAATACAAATGTACTTTCTGTGTTTCCAGTAAAACTGAACCCAAAGATCTAGAAGATTCATAGATACTGGAAAGGTCAGTTCCTAGTTGAAACCCATCAGTAACAGCCTATCGTCTCTCTCTTACTTTCCTCATTGACCACTCCCGTGTTAAATTTCATCTTCCTTAGACTCTGAATCCTGAGCAAGGACTGCATCTTGCTGTGCAATTTTATGACATGTAACAGAAGCTGTTCATAATCATCACTAAAGCCTCTGGATGCTACTGCAGCAAAAAGAAGAAACACCATGGACCAGAACAACCAACGAGTATCCCAGTGATACAACTATGATAATATTTCTATCCAAAGGACAACAGACTACTTAATAAGACATACAGTTGTATGAATGTTCCTGTCCATTGTCACAGGATATAAATGCAATTTTACTTTTTGTGCAAAACCTCCTCTAGAAGAACAAAGTATCTCACTAAATGTGAACTTTGCCTGCATAAATAAAAGCATCTGGTTTGCTGTCTAACCATCTGGTTTGTCTAAAGTTTATAGTCTCCTGAGTGTTATTCACAGGCCCACATATGATCAAGCCTCCACAGACATTTTTATTTGGTAAAAGCTTTCCCACAGCACTTTATTTTTTCTATCTGTTTTTGATCTTGTAAAAAAAAAAAAAATAATATGTGTGTTGTAATACTGCATGTGTTTGTGTTTCTGTGAACTGTGCAGATCTCCTAGTGGGTTGATATTATGGGCTAGATTCTCTAGGGAACAGTGGAGGGAAAAACTACAAAGAGATATTTGGAGATACCAGACCCTATGACTTCTTCACCACTGTCCCTGAGCAAAGGGCTAGGTGAGGGTGGAGATGTTACTTTAAAATGCATCAGCTATTACAATGTAACAAGGCACTGAGAATTGACCTCTGTCTCAGTTCAAGAGCTACAGGTAACAACCACTTTATCGATCCTGTATCAGATGGAAACTCTGGTTTGATGATCCCATGATTCCCAGCAGCATGCAGTGTCCAGATAACATAGCTGTGTTCAGCCCTGTGTGATGAAAATGCATTTATTTCCCTTAATGCTACAAGCTGGGCAGTCATTACATTTCACTCTCTGCTTCACAAACACAAGATTTTCCATCCGGAGCCCCTACAGAGGCTTGCCAAAAGGGTTCATTATCCTTCAGAGTTCAACTGCTCCAGTTTCTGAAGAAAGTGTCTCAGTCCTCTGGTAGGTCACTAAGTACACAACAGTTCATGAGCTCTGATACTTCTGCTTATCACAAGCAATGGAAAATGATTCACTTGAAACAACAAACAGATTCAAAATCAGAAATAGGAATTACCTCAGTAGAGGTTAATATAACTTCACAGAAATCTACCTCTTTCTGCTCTAAACCAAGCAAATGAAGCGTGTGCATAATTGTCTATTTCTGCAGTCAATAATCACATCTTTTTATCTACCTAGAGGATAGCAACCTATCAATAGTTACATCAAACGAGATTTAAAGAGAAATGAAGACCTACAGATCATGGAGTGCAACACCCTATTTGTAATCTGAACATAACTAAACCAACAGGGGCAAAATGCCTGCATTTTATAGAGGTGCAAAATAGGCGTCCATTTCTATGGTCCCAGATTTCTTGAACACAGAAAAGCAGAAAGGATCCCAACATGCCTGTGGAAGCTAAGACCCAGGACAACTCCTGTCTCTGCAGAAGAGTTGAGAGAGGGCAGCTGGATCCCACTGGACCCTGCTGTGTTTAGTTTCTAAAAAAGGGAACTAAACTGAGCAGCAGCCCCCAGGGGCTGCAAAATACAGCAGGAAGCTTTAAGATGCCGTTCTGTTCTAAAAAAAAAAATAATTGTTTCATGTACATGATTTTATTTATTTGTTGGCTTATTTGTGTAGCTTGGGGGTACTGGGTTGTTGCCCGGTCATCTTCTTAGAACTTTGATTCCTGTTGACACATGAAAGTGTGAGTGTATGAGCTCACGCACTCGTACTTAAGAGCAAATTCTGTGAATATACAACAGGAGAGTTTTAAGTAATTCAAATTTAGTGTCAAAAAATTTCACGAAAGCCTTGTATTGCAAGAAAGATCAAACACAGATGGAGTCATATTCCAAATCTAAGCCCTAGATTTTTAGATTTTATCCTTTAACATATGGACAGAGCAGCTAATACACTTTCCAACTGAAGTATGTTAACTGATAATATGATTTTCCAGCCACTGTAAATAGGATGCATGTTGTAAATTTAAATCACAACAGATTCCAGTAATGTCAGGTAACAGAGCTAAAATAACAAGTTAATAATGTCTGTCTCTATGTTCAGATAGAAGATGGGCTTTGTATTTCTTTTGTTTATTGTACTGGAAGTGCTATACTATTCATGCAAAACTAAAGCCAAGACAATCATTAATTGTGATTTTTCCAAGTAGCAATGCTAAGTGTGGCATCCTGAGTAACCTATTGTATTGCTAATTACTTATATTCAAAGAATTTCAGTGTGAATATGCCTGTCACTGTGTTAATTTCTATATTACTTGTGTTTTCAATCTCAGTGTGATATTAACATTTATAATCTGCAAGTGGGAGTCAGTATTCACACCAATCAGGATAAATCCTTGTCTTCCCAAGCTTATGCTATAAGACATTCCTTAGAGAAGGGTAATTAAACTGAAAATTTTGCTTTAGATTTTAAATATTTTCCTAAGAAAAAAAGTATTTATTAACATGAAAATCCTTGTGTGATCCTTATTTGTTTTCAGAACATATTTCCAAGAGCTGGGAAGATTTGTTTTCTGGCATGCATCAAACATTTTTCCATTGGTCATAGCATTCTTGCACTAATTGGGTTTAGAAAACTCTTCAGCTGCAGCCTGGATGAATATGATCTGTGAAAAGCAAGCATCAGAAATAACGGGATCCATTAGCTAATTACACTTTATCATCAAACATGCATCAGCTGTAAAATGTAATATGAGAGCTATATTCTGGTATTCCAGATCTTTCAGGTTGTAAGAGCTGCCATAAACCCCCCCATGTTCTTTCCTGAAATGGTTCATACTTCTCAGTGAAGGAACCCACTGATTTTCGAAACACAGAAATCTGTACAAGACAGAAGCCTTCAGAAGCGTATAGAGATGTTTTTGCTTTGTCTGAAGTAGAAGTTGCAGGTAATATACTTTGTTTAGCATGCATGAAATATGAACTTATCGTTTCCCTGGTTAAAATTACCCACTCTGCTAAAAAAATCCTACAATGTATGATTTGATTGCAAATTGGGATACTTTGACACAAGGGATAAGTTTTGTTTAATGTGATTATGGACTATGTAGAAGAAAAGTTTCTTCGTATTTCCTCCTAAATACCCCTTTACTTTTACAATGACTTTTTTTGTTATATTCTATGACAACATATATATAGAACTAGCTGACCATATTTTGCCATACCTCTCACCTTTCTATTAATGTTTCAGATAATACATGAGGAAGATAATCTCACTATTTCTCGCTCTATTTTTCCATGGAGAGGATTTTCTCTCCTTTAAATGAGGAAATTTAGAGTCACATTACAGCTGACCTTGTTAACATACTGACCCTGACTCTGTGCCTTAGACTCTCAGTAGCTACATACTTCTGTGTTAAGTGGAAACTAAAATGCCATCCTCCTGGAATGTTTACCTTTTTAACTTATATATGAATTTGATTTGAGAGATGACAAAGTCCAAGTGGAGAACCAACATCATGACTTCACACGGAAGCCCAGTTCCTTGCTATTTAAAATTCCAAACTACATAAAATCCCAGAAAACCAAACAGCCAACCCAAAACTCACCCCCCCCCCCCAAAAAAAAAAATAATCCCCGAACAAAACAATACCCACACAAACACCTAAATAGCAAAAATCTTCAATATATTTGATTCCTGCATAGGGTGACCCTGCATAGGGTCACCACGTAAAATCTGTTAACACTCAAACCTACATTTAAAATTCACTGGTTGCACTACCTAAGCCTGACAGCATAGGTGGGCAGTGGATTGACACCCAGGTTTTGAATGGCAGTTTTTTGTGGGCTCCATCCTGGCAAATTTCCAAATACAATACAATGCTGCTCTGTTCAGCCCTGCTCACTGGACTCTGCTTAGTTCACTTTTGCCCATCCTCTGCCATGCCCTTCCTGCCCTCATCCCCATGGAGCCATGTAAGCTACACAATGTTTGTGCTCCTATTGCAAAGTGGGGAAACAACTGGAGACATCAGAGACATCCCCCTGTGCAATACCCAGCCACCACACCCTTGCTGCTCCCACTAAACACTAGACACAGCAGCAGTGCGTATGCCTGATCTGCCAGAGAATAGGTCACAACAGCACCTTACAGCCTGCTAGGATGTCAAAGCAGCTCCAGCGGAGGAAGTCAGGCAGTGAGACTCTCAATCCCTCAAAGACTCACTAAACGCCCACATAAAAGATTTAGTAGTTGTAAGATACCTGTTAGCACAAAGATACACAAGACATCAACTCTTAGCACAATACAAAATCACTGTGAAATCAAGGACTTATAATCAAATCCAAATACTTTTCCTCCAGTTAAGAAAAATATAAATGCCCTATCAAGAGGGGCTCAACCCTGCCAGCTTTCTCTTGAAAGGCTCTTTCTGGTAAGAGTGATTTATCTGCAGATACGCCTTAATTTCTCTGGGCCTGATAATTCACTCTTTTGCATGCTGAGTAACTATTTGAACTGCTACAAAGTGAAAAAAACAAAACAAAACAACCAACCAAAGGCTGCAAAACAAGTGGCTTACATTCCACAGGTGTAATTATTTTACAAATAAAAAGGAAGTGAAGACAAGCATTTGTAGGTGGTGTTTGGAGAGTCTTACTGTTGCTTTCTGAATCAGGAATACATTACCATTTTAAAGCGCTCTGCAGGGATACACAGGTATTTTGTTAGTGCTTGGACTTTAAAGGGGTTGTTTGTTGTTTTGTTTTTTTTTTTTTAATTTCCATTCTGGTATCTTTTTCTTTTGTATATGGTGATGTTTATGATCTAATTTTGTCTTCAAATGTTACAGCCTCATTTCTATGATACATGGTTTCTAAATGCCTTTTAGGTCCTTCTCCCATTTTTATGCTAGAAAGCAAACCAAACAAGCAGTACATGGCCTTTAACCTTATCTTCCAGGCAACACTATCAATATATATTGGTTATCTTCTTATTCTGCTAACAGAAAACAGGAAGATATATATGTAGATATATCACTGGTTTTATATACAGGTTCTTCTAGGATGAATGCTTTCAGTTCCAGCAAGAACATGCACCAGATGAACACCCAAATGAGGATAGATTTTGAAGTACCTCAGAAACCATGCTCTTAAAATACAAGCTTTATACAAGCAGACATTTGAAACCTGCCTATTTAATGGTGTAGTTGGTATTAAAAGATGGGTCTTCATTAGCAGATCTCACATGATGCCCACAGCAGGAGTGGATTGAGATTTGCTTTCTTTTCCTTTAAAAGTGCCCTGAACACCCAACAAAACTCAGTACTGATGGCTCACTTTAGGGTTGATTGTAAGTCTTAGTTAAACCTTTTTTTTGTCTAACTGGGTTAATTAGGTATTACTTTTCACCTAAATAATGGTTTTGTAATGTCTTAATATTTCAGCTCCTGCAGCTGCTTTCATTATGCAAGTAAAAGATCTGTTCTATAGAGACACCTATTTTTACCAAACATGTACAAGCTAAATTGGTTTTGAAATTTCCATTCTTCTGTGAAAACTAACTGAAACTGGCCAACGATTGGCAACCATTCCCCTTCCCCAGATGATGGGGAAAGAGAGGATGATAGACAAGTGTGACTGCAGAAACACTGTTTCTTTGGAAACAGCCTTAAAGCCCTCAGAAAACACAACACTTTTCAGGTCACATGTTAAAGCTTTGTACAATCGGGGGTTTGAGATGTGCTAAATCTTACACGTTCTGCACAGTACTACTCACTTGAATAGAACTAATCACTCAAATTGCATAAAGCTAAGTGCTTGTTCAAATCCCCACATGACTGATGACTAATGTTCAGTATTTAAAATCCTGTCCAAAAACAAAGGAACTGATTGTTGCATTTGAACAGTCAACTTTCTAACTAATCATAGTAATTTAAATCTCTATTGTTTAAAGTATGTAAGGAGCATGACTGCTTCATTGATAGAGTCTGCTTTTGTCCTTCTGGAAAATTTAGCATATTAAATACTAAGCCTTAGCAGTAAAATATTTTCAGTCTGAAAGCAACTTAAATTCCATGTTTTATGACATATATTAAACTAGGAAAACAGCGATAAAAGCTCCAATTGGTTTGTGAATGCCCTGAATCTAAGAATAACTCGACTTGATCTTAAACATGATGGTTGTTGGACAATTTAGTGGGCATAGAGAATTGTCTGAATGTGCCTCAGTGTATAGTGCTAGAACAGAATACAGGGTTTAATGCTTCATCTTCTCTGGCAGCTTACCAAACTTTGGAACTAAAAGAGCTATGTATTTTGCACTGCTGTATCTCAAGCAGGTCCAGAAAGTGACAGTAAGCCTTTTAGGGAAGGCACCGTTTTGTTGTCTTTATACCAGAAGCCCAGCTGGGTTGTGCTTGTGATAGCGATACCCAGCGGAAAGTACACTTCGGTGTCGCCACTAGATGTTTTCTAAGTAACTGAAGAAACAGCCTCTCCCAGGCTACGCATCCCCTCTATCCCTCTCAAGAGGTCCTTCAAGCTGCTGTAATCCATGTCACAGCTGGTGCCGTGGGTTATCTCTCTCCCCGCCGCTCCTCCTCTCCCTATCCTAACCTCATCCATCTGAGGACGGGCTGCCCTCCCCCAGGGTGCTGAACCGGTCACCCAGAAGTGACACCCAGCCCCGGTCAGGGCCTGTCGCGTTCCTCCCGTGGAACGGCGGGACATCCCCGGCGGGCACATTCAGAAGCAGCAGCATTAACTCGGCACGCAAGCTTCAGGTGACAGAAGCTGGCTTCTTAAAGGGGGACAAAGCGTGCTCAGCGTCTGCGGAGTCCAACAGCACTCCGGATGAAGGCGACCAAAGGGATAAAGTGAGGTAATTCTGAAGAAACTGACCCTACGCCACCACGCGGAGGTGGAGCTGGGAAGCCTCACAAAAAGCCCGGTCCACTCCGCTAAACCTTCCCCGGTGCCCACCAATCCCCTAGGGGCGGCTGCAGGTCCGGGTGCCGCGCCTGTGTTAGCGGGGAGGAAGCAGACACAGCCCCGCCAGAAGGAACAGCAGAGCCAGAAGCGCAGCCCCTCCGCCGAGCCTCACCGCCTCCACAGGGAGGGCCGCCCCGGGCTGCTAGCTGCAACCGCGCTCCCCAGCCCGCCCCGCTCCAGCTGCCACAAAGCGCGGTCGCATGCGGGAGAGGCGTCTGGGCGCACTGTCGCACTGCCGGAAGACGACGTTGCGCTTTGCGGCCCGGCTGCCCCTGAGAAGAGGCTGGGAAGCCCCGTTCGCCCTTTTCCCGGTGCCGCTGCTTAGGAGAGGGTGAGTGCGCGGGGGTTCTGCCCCCCGCTGCCGTGCTGCGCTCTCTCCCCATGCTGCAGTAACGCAGCCTCTCTCTTTCTCTTGCAGGAGTCACCATGCCGGCCAAGGGGCCCCTGCAGAGCGTCCAGGTCTTCGGCCGCAAGGTGAGGCCGGAGCGCAGCCCCCGCTTCATCGTCTCTTCGCTCTCGGGCTGGGCCGCACTCCGTGGCCTTGCGTACGCGGTGTCTTTCGGCCCCAGCCAGGGAGCAGGGGCGTCGGCTGCTCGGCAGGGTCGTGTGGCGGGGATGGAGCGAGGGAGGGTCCGCCGTGGCGAGGCCTGCTGGCAGACCACGTGTCCCGTTCCGTAGGTGCTGCACCGCATCCCGTCCCCGGCGCCGTGCCGAAGTGGGGGGACGGGTTCTCTTTCTTTGGGAATGGGCCTGGGGCCCCTGGGTCGGAGTTCTGTCCGTTCTCTTGAGAGTACTCGGCAGCGGCCGCCGCTGTCGTCCCCAGGCCACAGGGGCCTGCCTTATTGCCGGTATGTGAGAGCCGTGTTACGAGATGGTGGTGGTAAGGTAAAGTTCCCACTGCGCCAGTAATTCTAGGTAACAGGCGCTTTGGAGGAAATGAGTCATGGAAATACCTTGTTGCAGAACAGAGAGGGTATCTTCCATTTATCATTAAGTCTTATAGCTGTCGCATTGATAATTATGAACTAAATATAGTTTTGTTAAGATGGTGCCTTGATACCTGGGGAGTTTAAGGAGGGGTTGTTGTTTTGTGTGAGATGTTGATCTTGAGTCTGAACCTAAGATTTTTACATTGTTAATTAGAATTTAACACTGCCAGTGCCAAAATGAAATTCTGTACTGATACGCATTTGGATTTTTAGAAAACAGCAACCGCTGTTGCCCACTGCAAGAGGGGAAATGGCCTCATTAAGGTGAATGGAAGACCTCTGGAAATGATTGAGCCCAGAACTCTGCAGTATAAGGTAAGCATCGACCCAGGCTCCTCCCGCTTAGATATTAAAATGTCATTATATACATAATTGCTTGGTGATGGAGAAGAGTTGCTTGCTTCACTGACAGTACAAAAGTTTTGGTGTGTTTTTACCGGAAATGGAAATGCTGTCATGAAAAATTCAGAAGCTTGACCGCCTGTGGTTTCCTTATGGGGAAGGCTGGGCTTTTTGCTTAACTGGCTTCATGTATGCTAATGTAATTATATGAAGTATTTTTGGCACTTTACGTCTATTTTATTAAATTAAAATGGGAGGACTTAAAGCCCTCCTTTTTAAAGAATTGTTTAGGACTTAATAGCTGTTTAAACACTGCTGATTGAATCTAGAACTGATTACATGAGTGTAAGGTGTAATGAGTAGTGGAAAAAACCGCCTCAGACTACTTCAGATCTTCAATTTTTATAAACTCATTTTGGTTTTATGATGTAGTTACAGCATTCTACTTAAACTGTTCCCTTGCTCTTAATTCCTGTATGCATGTGCTTTGCTGTAAAGATTTGTGAAACTTAAATAAATTCAAGACTTAGCAGATTTATAGCGCCACTAGTAGATGAACTAGCAGAGAACCCTGCAAGAGTTGTACTTAATTTGGGTATATGCTTCTAAAATCATGGCTTTGTTTTTCAGAACTTTGCATAACTTCACATTTTGTAAACTTATTGTAAGTGCTAATCCTTGTGGTTTCTGATAACCAGTGAATTTTCTTTCTGTTTTATTTCCAAGCTGCTTGAACCTGTCCTCCTCCTGGGGAAGGAACGGTTCGCTGGTGTTGACATCAGAGTCCGTGTGAAGGGTGGTGGTCACGTAGCACAAATCTACGGTATGATTTTTTGCAGGAATCTGGTGTGGGCTAGAACAGGTCAGGCCACTGTGGTGGGTTGACTCTGACTGGATGCCAGGTGGCCACCAAAGTCGCTTTTATCACTCCCCTGCTCATCAGGACAGGAACAAAGAGAAAAAAAGATGGAAAAAAAACCCCTCATGGGTCTAGATAGAATCACAGAACGGTTTGGGTTGGAAGGGACCTTAAAGATCATCCAGTTCTAACCCTCCTGCCACACTACAGGAAGGGACACCTTCACTAGACGAGGTTGGTCCAGGCCCTGTTCAACCTGGCGTTGAACACTTGCCAGGGATGGGGCAACCAGAACTTCTTGGGGTAACCTGTTTCAGCACCTTAACCACCTTCACGGTGAAGAGCTTCTTCCTAATATCTAAATGTACCCTCTTTGAGTTTAAAGCCATTTCCCCTTTTGCTATCACTACTTGCTCTTATAAAAATTGCCATCTGCAAAGATGAAGGCAGTTTAAAAAGCAAAGGCTGTGTGTGGAGGCAAAGGAAAACTGAAGATTTATTCTCTACTTCCCATCAAGTGGTGATGTCCAGCCACTTCCCAGGAAGCAGGGCTTCAGTACACAGTGTTCCTTAAAAGACAAATGTTATAATAACAAATGTCCATCTTCCTCCTTGCTTTTATTGTCGTACGGTATGGAATATCCCTTTGGTCGGTTTGGGTCAGCTGTCCTGGCTGTGTCCCCTCCCAAGATCCTGCTCACCCCTGGCCTACTGGTGAGCAAGGAATGTTGGAGAGGCAGCCTGGATGCTGTGCAAGCACTGCTAAGCAGTGGCCAAAACACCAGTGTGTTACAAACACCTTCTAGCTACCAACAGTAGTACTAGGAAGGCTGCTGTGGGAAAAATTGACTTGAGCTCAGCCAGACCCAGCACAGACATGTATTTAAGAGGCTTGAGTTTAGAATAGTAACTTGCACATGTTTATGGTCTGTTCCTTTTTCCACTGTGTAAATGTAGTTTTTCATAAGGGCTTACTGGTTGTATTTTATGTGCAAAGCTGTAACATCTGGAGTAAGATGAATGAAGTGAATTGGTAAAATTTTAAGGGAATGTGAGGAAACAGTCTGCGTCTTGCAGTGTGATGGGACAGTTCAGCTAAGCAGAAAGATTTTGGGAAGGGAAAAGGGGTTTTATTGTTAGAGGTTATATATTCAGTTGCAAGTTACCATGTTATTCAAGGCATATTCCAGCCGACCTGCAAAGGGTCGGTTTTCTCCCTTTGCAAAGAAGATGGGGGACATACTTTTGCTAACTGTTGGTAGAGTTGCTCTTTACACATTATAAGCTTGTTCTGCTATTTTGGTTTGGGTATAGGCTAAAGCGGAGCTGAAGCTGCCTAAAGAGCAGAGACATGTTTTAGTTTAGGAGTAGATTGCATTTGCTTTTTCTCAGAAAATTCAGGTTATCATAGGAATCTTCATCTTGATGTTCTGACAGGTAACAACCTAACCGCACCTTTGCAGTTATTCCGATACACATGCTTTGAGTTTAGGTTCCTGTAGTGCTATGCTACAGGCTTATTGTGTTGAGGATTGCTAGAAGAGCTGCTCATACCTTCCTACTGTCCCTTTTGCTTCCTTAGTCTTTGAGCACAGTGATCAATGTTATCCTTGTCAGAAAGTACAGATGTTTCAGAGAACTATTACAAAGAACTGTGTTTCTAAGGATTTAGAAATTGGCTGCTTGTAGGTGGAAGATGAACCTACGTTAGTATGTGGGAGATGTTTGAAACTGCCCTTGAACAATTCCTTGGCTGTCAGCTCTCAAATCAAATGAATTGTGAGGGGCCCCTTGGCACGGGTTCCTTCAGATTTGCCAAAGTAAAGGTCACATGGGGTACATGGGAGGGGAGATGAAGGAGTGAAAGGACAATCTGGGGGAAAGCAAGACAGCTTCTCAGATAACTGGCTCTTTGTGTTTAAGTTTTAAATACAGTTGCAATCTTTACTAATCCATCATTTTTTTTAACAGCTATCCGTCAGGCTATTTCCAAAGCACTAGTGGCTTACTATCAAAAATGTAAGTTGTTTTGATTGTTGTGTTAACCTTAAGCGGAAGTGTATGGCTTCTGGTAGTTTTGATGGGAGGGGGGGGAAATGTTAATACAGATTTGTTCTGCAGAAATCTTCCTAAACTGAGGATTTTAATTTTTGTTTTTTTTTTTAACAGATGTTGATGAAGCTTCCAAGAAAGAGATCAAGGATATTCTAATCCAGTATGACAGGACTCTGCTGGTTGCAGATCCACGCCGTTGTGAATCCAAGAAATTTGGAGGACCTGGTGCTCGTGCACGCTACCAGAAGTCTTACCGTTAAAATTGTTCTACAGTCATGTGTCAGTCAATAAACACAATTTGATAATTTTGATGTTTGTAAATGGTGTTTTTTTTCTGTTGGGTGAATAGAGATTTTTTTCACTGTTAAGATTGATGCACAAATTTATGGGCATTAAAGTAAAATCAGAGGGCTGTTGGCAGTTCTCTTTTATGCCTTCATAGTAAG